GCTGCGTCACGCGGAGAGGGTTGTTCGCGGATGCGGGTGGCCCGAAAGTTTTGCCATCTGCGCTGATTGATGATTGGGGACCTGGTGATTAATCCCCGTGGGCCATCGATGCATCCTCCCGAGGCCCTGTGAAAATTTGACGGGCACGATTGATGGATTGAAACTCCGAAACAAAGGGGTGTTTTTTTTTAATTGGTTGGAAATCGATTTACATATTAAATCAAACACTGGAATTACCCCTATCAGTTGTGTATTACTTCCGCTTCCTGTCGATCTGAAATTCTGTGGCTCCCAATACAGAAGTAAGTGAACAATAAATGCACCTGTTCCAGCCAATGCTCGTGGAGTACATTTCGCAAACAGAACTATTTCGTAATTCTTCCCTCCATGTAATCAGCTCTAATTCATATTTCATATGCTCACAATTTATAATAAAACATTTATGATTATGATATGATGGAAATTACTGAAATTAACGTGTTATGACGCTAATTTCTCTGAAAGCGTCTACACTGCATACTATTTACAGTAAATCAATATTAAAGTAAACATGGAAGGTTGTTATGCTATGTTTATGCACTTTGTATTAAATTGGGTAAAGAACTATTACTTTCACCACATCTTGAAAATGTACTTCACAGTAAGCGTATTACGGCAGTCGTTCGTTGCTTTGTAGTGTGAAACTCCCATGTTGTGAAACAATTTGCCACAGACAGCCAAGCCTTAAATAAAATTCAAGAAAAAAGGCGTACGGCAAAGCATTGTTGGGAAGACGAAGCAAACCAACCGATTTAGCCGTTGAGCGCGTTTACCCGTAGTGTTCCACGTGAATGCTGCTGACAATGTTTGGCACCAGCGCTAGTGTTTAAAGCAGGTTCGCTCGATTGATCGTGATTCATAGTGTCTCAGTTGACCGTAACATTGACAAGACTTAGATGTCTCGTACAAAAGCTTGTTTTATTATACTGCTAATGTCATTCTACAATAATATTGGACACGTACGTTATTTCATGCAAGAACACATATATTTGTTTTAACTGGGACAATGCCATTTCAATTGGAAAGTATTGACGTTTCTATGGTATCCAATATGAATTCTAGACTTATTCGGAAGTTGAATGGGGGCCATGGACCGCGCGAAGTGCTTCCTTTCCCGACTCGCCGTCGTTCCCCCATGATCTTCCGGGCAGAAACCAGGTCTAATCAGACGTCAGGCAAGACCTCGAATTGGACTTCAGCGACATCGCAGATGGAATGACATCATCGACGCGCCACCCTCCATCACAAACCTTCGCACTATTGTCAATCTTCACAAAGATTAAGAGGCATCCACGCTGCGGCAGCATTCGAGCTTGGGGAAACGGCCGTGAGAGGTTCCTGTAGAGAGAGTCTTTCGTGAGTCGGCCGCGAAATGGTTTCGATGATCGATTCTCTGCAGTCGTTAGGTGCCGCCCCCTTCCTGATCTGCTTCTCCGTTTCCCATCCACTGCCGCCCTTGACTCTCCATTTTGTTCTGTCGCATTTCATCGCGTTGCGTCATGGAACGCGATACTACGCCGTAGTTCGCGCGGATTTGGACGGTGTGGTCGGGGTTAAAACGGTTTGCATGAACGCGACTCATGTTTTTTAAGAACTTCCTCACTGTACGGAAGCTTCATTTAAATGTATAATTTTTACGGTTCCAGGAAAAGAGCGCAATGAGAAAGGGTTGTGCCCTGCCTATAGTTCTCTTTCTTCTGCTATAAAACAGATGGCAGATCGCGCTCTGCGGTGTATTTTGAAAATGGCACAATTAAGAAGGCACGTGAAATGCCATTTTAAGGAATACATATCCATAATATTACCATTGAGATAAAAACGTGACTGGTTATGAGGATGATATTCAGATCTGCCCGGTAGAAAATGATATTTTCTTACAGCATTTGAGCTCGAATGACTACTTTTCTTTGTTAAGAACTAAAGGTGAACTCGTCACTAAGAATCTACGACATTTCTTTGAAATGAAGTTACTATAATCTCATGTAGACGATCGATCGGAATTTACTGAAACTGTAAATTGTGACTTCACGCACGAAGTGCCTCCAGGCTGTTGGGTGGTTAATAAACTATTTCCTTTTCGACGAACGCATGATTAGTGTACTTTATTTGACATTTCGAATTCGAACGTAATTTTGTCCTATTTCTGCGTTTAACCCGAAAGAAAAATCGTGTTGTGCCGGCAACCTGCGCCATCTTAATAAATTTAAGCGCTACTATTTTTATTGGTTTGAAATGTAATGCTGATACGAATGAGCGGAAGGGATTATTAAAAAATTAAGCAAATTGCACGAAGGGGCGAAATTTCTGTTTCTGCTGACTCCTCCCAGAAATAAAAATGAATCTCTCCTTACGTTGGGCTATTCTGAAATTTGGCATATGCAAAAGTTAGTGAACTAGTTTACATTTATGATCATATACATATGTGTTATACTTGTGTGTGATAACTACGTGCAATAAATATGTTAGCTTATATTACACGTACTATGTGTTTATAAATTTAAAATATAGACCATAAGTAATAAAATATAAAAAGATTCTTGAATGTAATAAGAGTACAGTGATGTTAAGCCAACACTCGAAAAGGAATGGAGCCCCATGTGATGGAATATACACTGTGTTAAGATCTGTCCATTTTCGTTGAGATGAAACTTTAAATTAGCTGCAAGGAAGCCTTCCAAGAATCAATCGCATGCTCATATTAATCGGACTGTGAGCTAGAATGAAAACACTGGCTACGTGAAAGGTGGCGACAGCGCTTGTGATCCGCCTCTCAAGTTCTCGTGACAGCGACCGTAGGCTGTGCTGCGGAGGGTTCCGGTGACGTAGTGTGAGGTGCGAGGTTCCTCTCCGTCGTGACACGGACGCGTGAATTATTACCGTCGGCGTGTCCGCCGGCGCGATGCCCACAAAGGGGAGACGCGACGTCTCCTATCGCCCGCGCTACCCCTCCCCGGCCTGCCCGCCATCCCCGCATGCCCCGCTCATCCCTGCCCGTCACGCATCACGGTAGTCGATGCCTCCCCTCAGGCCTCCTTCCCGCCGCTACCCGCTCCCGCCTCTCCCACCCACTACCGCATCAATGCCCAACCCCTCCCTGCACGGCCCCTACGCCGCTCAGCACACTGCCAGAGCTCCGTCCCTTCCCGTTCCAGTCACCCTCCCGCCCCCGCCCCAACCTCCGCGCTGGAGTCCATTGCAGCATTGTGATGCTGGACGCTGTCGCTTTGTTGGCTTGGCTATGTGCAGACGTATTATGTGGCTCTGCGTGATCAAGTGCTGCCCTGTTAAGTAGGGCGCATTGAACTGCAGTTGAATCGCCTGCCATACGGCATTGCCGTCGATGAAAGAAATGTCCAGATGACTGCTCCCACTTTCACTCTTAAACATATTTTTTCTTGATGTGCACTGAACAGATATACCGTTGATTGATCTAAATCCCGTTTTCTTTAAAAAAAAAATGATTGTGATTCGCAAATGGATGTTGTGCTCGTAGTTCTCTTTTTGTTTTGGAGATAGCAGGGAAGTGATTTTACAATCGCCATTGCTCTTGCGCCGTTCTCCATTGCAGCATTGTGATGCTGGACTCGATCCCTTTGTCGGCAGGCTGTATGAGCGCATTATGTGGCTCTGCGAGATCAAGCTCCCGTGAAGTAGGACATGGACGCCTATTCTGTGGCATGCAATAAGCCATCGATAGAATGTGGCGGATGCCTAACCCACACGCAAGCTGTTTCTTGAAATGATATCCACAAAACAGAAATAGAGTTAAACTAATCCCTTATTTTCAATGTAATTGTTATGATACGGAAATAAGATGAAACTTGCGATGGTGGGATTTTTCATGATGGTAATAGTGTGATGTCACTTTGGAAATCCGATCGCAGGTGAATTCCGTGTTGATTTATTCGTATAACCGGTTCTTTTAACTGGCTGTGAAAAACCTGCTCAGATATTTAAGTGTTGATGTGCTTTAATGGGTTGGTTTGGCGAGTCGTGCTCCCGCGAAAATACTACCGTTTTGCGTTTTCTGTTCTTTGGGAGAAATATTTTCCAACTTCCACCTTTCCCTATCTCGGAGAAATCTTCCGCCAGTGAATTATGACGAACTTTGAATGTATTGTTTCCCCTCGTTCCTGTCCGGAATATTTGTGTCCCGAGGGATTCATGATTATTTGTTGTCGTAGCGCACAATATATTTCGTCGATTTAGGGAGCTTTGTTGATGCATTCATGCGTATTCGTGGCGCTCGTATATTTCTTCAAAAATCCTTATCAATTTTTTACCTCCGTCTCCCAGCATTTTTTCTTTTCGTGAAGGGTCTTTGGAACGTATCGAATTTCGGCATATGTTGTATCCTGTGAACGAATACTTATAATTTTACAGTACTTAATCAATTACAGAGTTTATGTTTATGAGAATGAAGAAAATAAATAAATCAAAATGTAGAAAAAATATGACTTCCATTTTACTAACTGGACTATGTAAATATTATTTGAGCGAAACACTAGAGTATAACATTTGTTGTATAAAATAAGCTTATATTGTGAAATGAATATTACACGCCCTCGATACACGGTCATGCGATATAAGGACCTGTAAAAACATTCTGTGAACAAGTGATTAATAGTAAATGGAGAAATCTAAGCGTTCTGGGCACGAGTCCATTTTTTAGAGGATGTTAATCTTCATCAACGTTTACGTAATTTGAGAAAGAGATTTGATCAATATTCGGAGGATATTTAATTGTTCTGGGTACCAATTCCGTTCTGGGGTGCTGGAATGGCATGGATAATGTTCAACGTTGGAGAAAAATGTTTTTACAAAGCGGCGAATTTTGCACTTGCGTAATATTACTGATTCTCATAGATGTACAAATATTTCTGAAATATATTTCAAACTGAAAAATGTCCCATGCTTTGACGAATAAGTTTTGTTGGCAATGTGCGAGAGCCACAGACCCTCTACTCCGCAGCATCGTCATTCTCCGTTCCGTGCCTGCCACACCGCCCGCACCCATCGCGCCATCCACAGGGTTGCCAGATGGCACGACAACTTTTGTTTTTTCGAAATGCGTATAACATTTCCTAAAAAATACAGGCTTTATTTAAAAAATCTGCAACATAAAATTTGAATTTATTACTTTCAACATGTGGATTCGCAACTATAATAATACAATAAACAAATCTTCAGACCTGAAAATGTCTACAAACAATAGTTAATAGTTTTTGTTTTTGAACAAAAGTAAGTTTTAATTCTAACATCGACACGAATTGGTAACATACAAATACTACAAACAAGGAAACTGGTCTGTTCTTCAACAAGAATTATATCAGCTGCCAAGAAATATCTAAATGCTCGTACTTTGGTATCTGATATAGAATTTTTATTCTTATTATTCAATTTTGAATAATTTTTAATTAAATTATTCTCATGAAAGGTTTCAATGCGAAACTTGCAATAACGTTATTTCGTCATGCAACATTGTAAGACAAATTTCTTAGATTAAATTCTATAAATAAATTATTATTATTATTAATACTAAAGATTTAAAAACGTCTTTATCATTACGCCCCCCCCGCCCCCCTCCAAAAAAAGGTGAGGTTCAAAAAGGCCTGTTTGGCAACCCTGCCGCCCGCGTGCTCCGCCCCCGCCTGTGCAGCGCCGTTCCGTAGACCGAGTTCCCATGCGTGGCACTCGCGCGCCGTGTGGAAGCCGAATTCCCCGTTGGCCCTCGGCTGCGCGCCGAACAATCGCCCGCTCGCGCCACGCACGCGCGCGCCCAGGGAAGCGGAATCGCTCTTCAGCGGGAAGACGGCGGCCATTTCGTTTGAACGGAAACAATGAACGTTTTCTTTCATATTGGCGTCGTGAGCGTGTTTAGTGTTCGTTTGATGTAATCTTTGAATATGCTGGTGAGTCAAAATGTTTGAGCGATAGGCTCAGCTCAGCTTCTGGATTTTCCTATTCATTCTCTACATTTTTTATAATATATTGAAATTCCTTCCAGTAATGAGCTCGTATATAATTACGGACAGAATATAAATATCATAAAATATTTTTTTTTTAAACTTTAAGGCGAATTGAGTCATCTGATTTTCACTATAACAATGATTTGATCATGCGAAACGATAACTTCAAACAATCACATAGTGACAAGAATGTTGCTTTCTGTACTATTTAGTTTTCTTAATTTATAAAGTTCTTCAAAGGGGTAAAAAAATATTACCTGCTGGAGAAAATATTTCAGCTTTGAATTTTGGACGAAAAATATCTTGGATGAGGCTTGGTCGTTTAACACAGTGGATTAGGTGTTGAATTGTTTGTTTTGGAATTTCATCGTTAATTACGTGCTTGTAAATCCTGTAGGAAAGACGTTAGAAGGTAAAAAGGTCATTATCATTGTAACATTTGACCGGAAAGTCTAGCTCCTGGAACTACGTAGGATCGTTATAGAGTCTGCGGAAACTTCTGTATTTATTTGCATAATCAATCCTATTGATTTGTCGGAATACTTTTTCCATTTGAGTAAATTTGTATGTCGTGTTCATACAATTTTGCTGTATTTTACAATGTAAAAACACATTCATGTATTTTTTATTTTTGTAATCTAAAATATTGTTTTCGAGAACTTAGTAGTATTTATTGAATAACCACTTTTAAAATGTTTTAGCTCAATGTTTATAATTATACTGATGAAACCTTTTCTTTTTTTAGGTAAGTGTTGCCCCAGCCTTTCCAGCCGGTGTTCCAGGTGGCGGTGGAGTAAGTACTCAGGCGATGTAGCCGAACTGTCTGCATGGGGCGGGGATAAGCACTGCATGCGAATGAACGCCTTTGCAAAAGGATTTCATTCCAACAGTAGGGCGTAGCTTTCTGAGGCCATAACGTTCTGTTTTAAAGCTGCCACCGTTAGCAACGCTGCAAGAAAGTTGGGTGTTTCGGCTAGTAATCAAAAAGAAAGACGTTTGTGACTTGCATTAATGGGTGCGATTTCATCATCTGGCCCGAAGGATGTTGCGAGAACGTCTCCCATTGTTAAAGCAATTTGCCAGTGGGACTCGTTTGTTTTTTGAATCAACTCTCCGATAAAATGCGCTCGTTTCCTGAATAATTGCCGCAATCAAAGCAGACCGTTGCGAGCTGGCGATGTACTACTCGTAAAAATAATAGCGCAAATTTTCTTTTGCCGCACCCATCAACGTTGAAGAACGAGCATATGGGGATCTGCCGTTGTGTTTCTTTTTCTTTGAGTGATGACTTTATTTTTCGCGACTTGGTGTTAGGCGTCTTCGCGACGTCGTCGGCGAAAAAAGGAAAAAGGAGGAAAACATGTCTGGGAAAGACGGGAACTGGGGAAGAAGTGGAGGGGAGGGAGGGGCGGGCTGTTTGGAACGGAGCGTGCACTTCGTATGTAGCGCACGTCGTCCGAAATGAGGAATAACGGCGACGTCTGCGAGTGCACTCGCGGTCTCTGGAGAATACACACTCGCCCGTCAACGCCTCGCCTCGCTACGCCCCGTTCCCACCCCGCTCCACCCCTCTCCCAGTTCCGATGCTTTTCCTCTCCCGCGCACAGTTGTTCGGCCACTCCCCGCTCTTCTCCGCCTTATTTCGACCCTCCCTGCTTCGAGCCTTGACACACCGCCCCTCCCGTCCCCCCCTTACCCATCGCCGCCTCCACCGGGGTTGGCCCTCTTCACCCCGCCCGCCCCCGTCACGCACTGCTCTGTCGCTCCTCCCGCCCCGTGTCACTGCGTGCTCCTTCCCGGGATCCTTCTCCATCCGTGCGTCTTCCCTTTCCTTCGACTTGCTCTCCCCGTTGCCCGCCCCCCCTCGCCCGTAATGTGGGACGTCTTCCCATTCCCACGCGCTTCGTCACTGGCGGCCCCTTTCGCGCCACCTCGGTTACGTCCCTCCGCTTCCTTCGGACTCGGCCCGCCCCCGCCCCCGCATCGCCTTCCCGCGCCGCTTGCTCGCGCGCTTCCGACGTGGGCGCCGCCACAATTACTTCCAGGGGGTGAGCACGCAGCGTCCATTTAGGGCATTATGACGCGGCGGAGGGGGGTCGCACCGCGATAGGAGGCGACGGCTGATAATTGGACTGTGCGTTTCCAGGGTTCATGGGCGAAGGGAATGGCTGCTTGAACTAAAATGGTTTCCACTTTTTACTTTTATCACTTTCGGTTTGGTACAATATTTCCAAATTTATTTCTTTTGTTTCAAGTTCATGGTGTGTGTTGCTTGCGGTGATGATTTTAATCCCGAATCATATGGCCTAATCATGTGTTGGGTGGTATGTTGAGAATACGGATCTGAGTTTGGTGACACACCTACATAAGCTTGAGAATCAACAGCATCTCACTCGCTAATGTCTACTTTGCAGACTACAATTGTGCAAAAAGGCAATAGTGCGGAGAGGTCATTTTGAAAATATCGATGTTGAATTTAATTGCCAAATATTTTATTTATTTAACTTTGTGGTACGAAACTATAAAAGAAAAGTCAGAATAACACAGTAACTCCTTTTTTCAGTCTTAAAGATTCAATCTAACCAGACATCTTACGTAGAAATAAGCAGAATAAAAAAAGAAAGAAACTGTGTGGGCCAGGGGAAAGTCACTGATGAATGAAGTTAATGAGAGTTTTCAGTTGAAAATTTTATCAGAGTTTTGTTAATATTGTAATCGATCTCTTGGGCATAATGTAAAGAAGTTTGTCACTAAGCATCGAGAAAATGAATTGAACGTTAGCGTTCCCATCCAGGAGCATCACGACCCTGTCGTTCCCTTCCCCATCGTCTTCCTCCGCCGCCGCCAGAAGCCTCGTGTCGTGCGGGAAGCGCGAAGGGGGCGGCGGCGGCGGGCGAGGCGCCGCGCATGGCCTCCTGCCAGGCTATTTCTAGGCACGCATTCGACACACGCGGCGCGCTTCCCTCCCGCCGCCGCCGCCGCCGAACCAGCAGCAAGCAGCGGTTGTAGCATTCAGGGCCGGTCCGCACCCCGCCAGTGGCCTCTCGCCCCGCCCGCCTCCTCTCCAGCATTCCATGACGCCGGAGACGTCCCCACGCCGTCCCGCCCCGCCCCGTCCCGTCCCGCGCCGCGCCGCCTTCGAATTCGTGTTCTTTTACTGCGCCTGCCTCCCTCGAAGGTGTAGGATTTCCGTTCCGCCTCCGAATCCGTTCCTCTCTCCGCCTTCTCTCATTAGGGGTCCTTTTTCCTTCGCCAGTTTGCGTTACGCTCTGCGAATGAGAAGTTCGTTGCACTTGAGGCTGCGGTGCGGTTTGCATTTCATTCTTTGTGGCTCTTGCGAGGGTTTTTCTGGCTCACGCCTACCAACTCGATAGCGGAACAATCGAGTTGGCTGGACAGGCTTCGAAAAAATGAACTATTAAAAACAATATCAGCTTGAACAAACGCAGATTTAAAATGTTTGTGTTTTCGTATCGTAATATTAGTCAGATAAGTTAGATTGTTCACTTATGCGTTTTCCTTCCGGGCTTGGTCCGCGGAGAAATAATCGGGTGTGGAAGCGACCCAGCGCCTCTCGCGCACGTCCCATGGGCGGGGGGAGCCGTAGCATTGACTTTTGGCCGCTCGCCCGCCTCCGCCCCCCTGGTCCTGCTCCCACCCACCCTGCCGCGTAGCGCACGGCTCCCAATGACGGCAGCCGCGTTGTGCACCCGAGAGCACCGGAATGGGATGGGTGATCCGTTAATAAAAATAGGAGCCGTTGATAGTTCTTTGCTAACCGAATTGTTCATTTACCAGTTGTCAGTTTATTAAAATAATTTTACGGTAGTTTCATTAATTCTCTCAGAAGACCTAGAAATCTACAACAATTTTTGAATGTGTGCAATTTTTGTTTGGGACATCGTAGATCCACCCATTGTCTACTACTTTTTCATAATATTTCAGAAGTAGTTATTGAGAAAGCAGAGCTGAGAACGTCAAAGGAATCTTCGCTGAGCATGTGAACATGAAATTAAAAGAAAAAACTAAAACTCAAATGAAGTTTAGTTATTGAATTCATTTGATGGATATTCCATTTTCAGGCGTTTGCTGTGATCGAGAGGATTGCTAATATTTTGATTTGCAAGAGAGTGACGACTGTTGATTCACACCGGATTCTATTGCCGGTAGTGAGTAGATGTGCACCCCCCAGGGCCTCAGGTTTATGCGACTCGGTATATTCCGCGTTTCTTCGTCCTCTGTAACACTCGTGGGACAATGGAGTTGGTCGCCTTGACTGACATAAGTGCGGGTCGCAAAGAAGTAGGCTGCGTGGGAATCGCTGCCCCATTACGTGGTTGTGCCTCTGGATTCGAAAGAGCTTCCATTGAAGTCAGTTTCCGAAGAATGAATATTGGTGAATGAAGATATAATAGTTAATATTTAAAACATTAACAATGGATATATTGAAGGACTTTAGTTAGTACAGAAAATTAGTAACGCTATATGTTTGCTGGGTATCATTGGCTTCTGGGCTGGGGTAAGGTGAGTGCGCTGGAGCACTATCACCTCCCCTTGGGTGCGTTGCTGATTATGATGAGAAGAATATTTTCATATTTAAGAATCTGTAAAATGTTATTGCCTGTTTGTTGTTTTATTTTATTTTTTCCCTCCGAGGCCGAAGTTGTGTGTTGCATGCCATGATGATTTTAATCCCGAATCATACGACCCAACTGTAAGTTGGTAGTATGTTGAAAACCCTATTCTGAGTTTGAATTGTGGCACACACCGGGAGCTCGACGTAGTCCGGAATTAGGCATTTTCTTGCAGTAATCTACACCAGTCTCGACCTTCTGCGCATGTGCAGTTAGGATGCGATTGCACAGATGCCAAAGTCGTGTAAAGTGTTCAAGATTTCTGTTGATTGCTGTTCGCTACGCAGTGTAAGACGTCCCTTATTTATTTTGTATTGTTCACTGTACGATAACAAGAATTTCTCGTTTACGTATCTCGATTCTCTTTACTGCTCGATACATGCGTATCGGGAAGGAGACGTAACTCGGTACTCGTGGTATTATCACATTTGCGGGCGAAACTTGGAAACCCTTAATAAGAGAAACCTAGTGTACAAGTTAATATGAAATGATTGGTATTTATTCACAATTTATCAGAGTTAATTTTTATTTCAAATAATATTTTACGCCATTGATGTAGGTACATAATGAGATGTGGTAGAAGAAATGAAGGAGAAAAGTTAATACCTACATAAATATTCGATGAACGTGTAAGTTTGCCTTTTAACAGTAAAGCTACTTAGCTTTTAAAGGTCATCCCACCATATGCAGTTACTCAGTGCTTTGTGAAGGTCGTCGGGTTTTTGTTTATTGAACTAGCAGAACAGTAATAGCGAGAGATCCAAAGGTTTTTTTTTAGTCCTGCCCTATAGAGATACTGAAGTCGCAACACCATAATACGGCATTGAATCTTTGTAGAGACTGCTGACGGGTTTTAAATATAGTCTCAAAATAATTTTGTGAACTAGGCTTGCAGGTTAAAACAAATACATTTCCGTGTTAAATTGTGTTCTTCGTATTGAGATAACAATAATCGAAGCTCAGTCTCGATTTCTCATGTACAGGATTTGAGTGTGTTCTCAATCGTCAGTTCACGTGTACAGGCTGAGAGGTAGTAGTCTACTGTGGTTTTTAAAACTTGGTTTATTCCTAAATGTTATTTATATTAAACAAAACTTGTTCTTGTTGTTCATCAATCCCACAAATAGTAGCTGCATCTCAATGGTGTTCTATCGAAACG